TTTTTTTTATCAACAAGGATCAGTTCAAAGATCCAGATACATGATCTGCGTCGCAGAAACGGCTCCGCAGGCAGCGAGGGTGCTTGCCACGCATACAACGGCTGTAGTGGTACCAGATTTGCTGACGATGGTCCCCAGACAACAGGAGAGGAGAAACTGCGCCAGAAACACCATGGAGGAGACGATGGCAACGTCTGTGCCAAGACCACGCACTCCTACGCTTTGAACGGCTTCACCCTCGGCTGTCACCTCAAACTGCAAAGTCGACTAATTAAATTTCTGTTCGATCTGCCGTCTGTGTTACATTACGTTACGCTGTTTAATGGCATCAAGCCATTATTGCTTCTTGTTGTGTTATTTATTAAATTTATTAAATTATCCTTGTCACTCGTAAACCCTTTTGTAAAAAGAGAAAATAATAAAAATCACCAAGATATGTATAATTTATGTTGTACTTTTCTTTAATTTTCTCTCTCTCTCTCTCTCTCTCTCTCTCTCTCTCTGTTTTTTTTTCATAATTAAAATGAGACTTTTTTTACTGATCGTTTGAGAATTTGTCGCTGTCAGTCCCGAGAGGTTGCAGGACAGGATCCACTTACCGTGGATGAGGCATGATAATGTGCAACTAGAAGATACGGCATGGTGAATAACGTAGAGTACATGACACCTGCGGTCCAAGAGAATATGATCACTCCCGCGGGATGTTTCGTCAGCGCCATCATCATCATGCCAGTGCTGTAGAACAGCAGGCCGCAAATATACACCCTCCGAGCTCTGTCAAATCACGTTAAATAAATTTATTTTACACCTGACATTTCTTTCAGTTAGCGAAACAATATTTTTGATTGCTGATATGTTTTATCTAAAAAAAAAGAAAGAATTTAAACAAAAAAGACTACAAGTCTTTCAGCGTGTGTGATTGTCAAACAAGAAATTAAATCTCAAAGAAAGAAGAGAAACGAATCGTGAGGAATGTGAATGAGAGCTAGGTTGAAAATTTAATTTTCAAGTATGCACGCAATATCGATTCTTCTCGGATTTGTAAGATTATAAATTAAAAAAAATTTCAATTACCAACCGATGAAAGAAAGACGAAATAAAAATTGATTTTGACGATAGATTTTGCAGATGGAGACACCGCGAAATGAAAATTGTTTCTTGAAAGTGGAAGAAAATGTGAATTTACTTGTAGCGTTCTATGAGCTTTTCAATGATCAGCGAATAACAAGAACAGGATAACGAGTACATGGACATTCCCCAACACCCGAAACGAACTCCACTTTCGTACAGTTCTCTTTCTCTGCTGCCTTCCGGAGCCTGTAATGTTGCAAGTAAACACACTCAACTGTAAAAATATGAAAATGCTCGGGCGATGAGTAACAAAGTAACAAAGTAGGTACCTGTGGATTTCCACCGTAAACAGCTTCGCCAACAAAATCGGTAAAGTACAGGGAGTAACATACGTGTGCCATCCAACAAAATAAATTAGTCAGACACACCATGCGAAGGCTGTGCGGCATGTACACGATGGAAAGAAGATACTCCCTCAGCGAGACTTTTGGATTTCCTTCGACACTTTGATCGAGCGTGCCTTGTTCAACCTGACTAGCGGGTACATCTGGTATCATGGGGACGTGGCCAGCTCTTTTCTCCGGTTCTTGGATTGGAAGAGGTTTGAGAACAAACTCCTGCGAGGAAGAGAAAGAAAGAAAGAAAGAAAGAAAGAAAGAAAGAAAGAAAGAAAGAAAAGACCACGTCATCGTTTTATCTCAACGTTGGTGTTTCTAATTTTAAAAACTTTTTTATTTAGAACGACAGAGGACATTTCCGAAAGAATACAGACATTTTTGAAAGAAGAAAACCACGAAGGTGAATAACGGTGAGATTCGTTCAATCAAAAATACCAAAAACAAGAATATTCGTCCAATCGACAAACTTGTCCAATTGTGAAATTCTTCTCGTTTCATTCTCATTTATTCGCTCTCGAAGTATGTGTGATTTACGTGCACGTAATACATAATTTCTGATGGAAATAAAATTGTTAAATAGACAATTCTTACGTCCTTCTTGGTAGCAATTTCTGAATCATTGTCCAACGTGCCGTAAGAAACACACTCGTCCGTGGCGATCTTCTCGTGTTCCTTTTGCTCGTCCTCCCTCTCCTCCGCGCGACATGCCTGTGTCGATCACAAGAGTAACACAAGAAACTCTTCAAACAGAAGACACAACACACGTGGCAAGACTGTGCAAACTTAATTCCTTGTCGAGATTTTCCTTTGACGAGTTACAGAAACGTTCGTCAAAGTGACAAGTGAACCGTAACGCGACGTCGTGCTTGTCGATATTGTTTTTAGTAATGTAACGCGAATGGACAATGGACGAACCTTTTGTTCCTGCAGCTGTCGATATTCATCGCTTTCCAACAACTGCAACGGTATCTCTTTGAAACTCGTGATAGTGCAGGACACACAGATAATAAATATAATGGTGATCAAAGTGAAAGTGGCGTGAAGATGCCCGCCTAGCATAACTCCCAACGCAGTGGCGTCCCAATTGATTCCACCCAACCCGTACCCCATGAAGCCTCCCAAGCCTGCCATTATGGTGAACGTGCTTAAACCCTTGGCGTGGTCATCTGTGAAAATTAACCATTAATACAGGCGACACGTAGTAACGATTAATACTTGACACGCAATAATACACGCATGATACAGTGATCATAAATCGATCATAAACCGATCGTTGAACCGACGACGTTGGAAAATAATCTTTTCAAAATTTACCAAAACGTGTAACTGAACTGCAACTTGCAATTTTTATTTAAACTCTTCATTTAAACGTTTCATTTTATTCCGGATAAATATTCTCGGATAGGAATTGATAAAGAAAAGAAAAAAAACAATTATAGACACGTCTAATCGAACGGAACAAATGTTAACTTTTGTTAAACGGTAATAAATATTGACTAAACGACAATTATGTAGATAGATACTGTTGTACATCTAACGTCCGATATATGTGCAATATATATATATTATATAATGTGTGATAATTCCATTTACTTGCCAGGTACAGTGACGTCGAGCAAGTAAGCTCTGGCGGGACTTTGGCAAGCGTCGGCGTCAAAGTCGAGGAGAACTGTGCCCAGAATCGTGAAGAAAATTCCCCAAGAGTGAGACGGAGGTTTCGCCGACTCCTCCTTCGGGTGTTTCGCCGTGGTTCGATGTCCCAAAGGGACCGTGTAGTTGCTCCACGTAGATGAAACGTCTCCGAACGCGTATCCCATGTCTTCTCCGTTTGGAACTAGTATTAAACCTTGAAAAGTAACGAAACAAAAAAAAAAAATAATAATAATAATAATAACTGATTGATATACAAAGCAGAGTCAACTACCGATCAAAGATCGAATCTCTTTCTTAGGCGTAATCGTACATAGAGTAGAATGTGTACAATCTTTGTCGCCAGTTCGAAATTAAATTTACAGATAAAATTCTCACTTATTCTTAATCAGTATCTAATTGGAATGCTACACGGCTAACAAGGAGAGGTCACGGCTGTTGGATCGTCGATTTTAATGAAATTTGGTCTGTCGATTCTAAAGTAAAAATAATTTGTCCAAGCATTTCCGTCAATACTCGTTATTTACAGAGATATTTAATGTTTCAATCTTCTGTTACAGCTATACATACTTTTTTTCTTAAAGTTGGATGTAGTGATGTAGTAGCGAAGCTGTAGTGTAATGTATTCATACCCGGAAGTTTTAGGGTTCTCGAATCCTCCCACAGAAAGAACTTTTTTTGTATTATCTCTATTTTTACTTTCTTTCTTTTCTTTCTTTTCTTTTTATGTAGAATACTGCGTTTTATATTTTTACAATGTCCCTAGTTGTATCGCCATTATTACAATTTTATAATGTCCCTATTATAGACTGCTGTGGAAATTTCACAAACTAATCATTTACTTTCGAACGTAGGGAAGACGCTATCAAAATTTATTCATTGATTCATCATCAATCAATTATCTGCATCAGTTTTCAATGCAATGGTTAAATATTTCTGATACGCAACAAAATTAATATCTCATAAATCCATATTTTTCAATGTAAACCAAGCCGATGTCTGATTTCCAGACGATGTAAAAAACGCAAAGTGTTGATGCAATAATATTTTATAAAATGTTCATACCGCCAGGTATATTTATGCTTTTCATGCTTTTCGACGACGCTTATCATCCTAGACATTGTAACGTTCTTTTGCAAAATGTTAGTTATTAAAAATTGTAATGTTCGACGTTGTATTTTATATTGAAATTTTCTGTGATATTTATTTAATAAATAAATTAATAATTAGGAATGCTATAAAAATGTAAAACACAGTATTCTGACATAAAAAGACAAGGAAACTTGAAAGAAAAAAAAAAAAAAAAAAAAAA